GTAATTTCATTTCAGATTAGTTTTAAATTATATTGACTTTTAAGTGGATTTCGAGTTGATAGAAAACATTTTCTCAATAGAAAATTGTACCAAAGCAGTCTTAATCTTTTTTTTTTCATTATAGACATGCACCTTTTTACATTTAATTCAACCAAAACAAACACAGTGCACAGTTTTTGCAGTGTAAACCTTCATTTTATCTTACTTTCTCCTTATGAAGTGTTTAGTATCACTGGTGCTTGGATTACAGCCTGCGTGTAAAGGAGAGAGAATTGTGTAAGCCATGACTTTACTGCTTCCTTATCCAGCCAACCCCCTGCCAACTCTGTGGCTTGCTTATTGCTGTCTCGGTCTCACGCTTGGAAAGTTAACTCCAATCCTCCCTTCATGCAAACCTCCCCGTCCTCTTACTGAACAATAAACATGATTTTATGACCCTAAATGATAGGTTCGGAAGAATAAAAGGTAAGGTGTGGCATAATAATGTTCCCCATGGCAGGTGATATTTTCTTTACTAGAATGTTTTTGGACTTGTAGAAACTAAAAACTGTTTTTGCTGTTGTAGTGATGCTGGCAAAAGTGTACTACTTTTGCACAGAGATAGATTAGCAAGGATTTTAACCTTGATTATGTGCCAGAATCAAACACTTGTTTTCAAAGATTTTGGGGAAGTAAACATAGAAGAAACTATCAGGTCATAGTGAAACTTTACCAAAAGGTACTTCTAAAAAGGCTTTGTAAAAAATTACAGGAAAACTAGAAAACTGAGGTTTATTTCCTCAGTTTGGAATATTTAACCATTCAATCCGTGAACATTGAATTGTGATTATATAGGGAGCCAATGCTCAATGCCCCCCCAGCCTCCGTCAAACACACACACACAAACACACCCCAACACCCCCTCTTCTTGGCTATCGGACATCAATCTAGCCAGTCTGCTAAGCCTCACTGGGCAATTAACCACATTGAGAGTGAAAGCTCTAATCAATCCCTGGCCTCCTTCATCACACACACACATGCACACACACGCACATGCACACATGCACACACACACACACACACACACACACACACACACACACACACTGTCTCTCTCCTTAAATCCATTGGTGTAAATGTCTTGGCCATTGATACAAGAGCAGAGCAGTCCAAACAGCACTTTTAAAACCTGCTGTCCCAGGACACAGGCACAAACCAATCCCCCCCCCCCCCCCTTCCCCATTTTTTGTGCTTTTATTAGCATAGAGAGCACTCACATGAATCTTTAACTCAACTTTTCCAACATGGAGTAAGAAAAGAGCTTCAATTTGCCATCTTAACTTCACAACACATTTGCTCGATTAACACCAGTCTCTCATATGGACGTCTTATTAACACACCAAAGTTCACTGTGCAGCACACATTTTACCCTTGAACTGTTTAAACCTTTAAAGAGGCTAAAAAAACCAAAACTGACTTAGATGATTTTTCAGAAGAGAAAAAAACAGTTATAGAAAACATACTGTATTTGCAAGCCTTGTTTCACATGCTGCACAAGGTAAACCACGTCTAAAAATGTCTCAAAGACCCTGCAGCCCCTCTGCCTGTACATGGTGTGGGCTAAATGTGAACCGTGCAATGAAATTCAGGCATCCCTCCACTGCAGCTTGATTCGTATGGACCCTAAATGTCAGCACCAGCAGGGCAGAGGACCCTGCTGAACCCCCCCGATAGAGCAGGGTGATGGTCTAAAGGCAGCCTCATCTCAAAATAGCCTGGCTGCTTGACTCGGACGTGTCAAATGACGTCACTGATCATCGAACTAAAGCAATAATATGTGAACAGATACAGGCAATTAAATAAAGATTTACAATATTTGAAGGATTAACAAGGCGATAAAGGATTAGCAGGAAATGTGTTTATGTCTAGCATTTATTTAAATTGTGTATCCTCATCCATTCTTTACATCCTTACACTGATGCCACTGTATCATTTCTGGAATACTACTGATCCTTCAATATTTTTAAGATTCTGTTTCTTCATTATACAACATGACTTAATGGAGGGCTACATAAATATCAGGTCTCCTGCAACCCTCGCTTAGAATTATTGACCCGTCAGCTATTGATTTGGTGTCTTTGTTCATGCATTCATGGGTAAGTTCAGTGCTTTGATCATTTTGCACGTTATGCTAAATCTACATCAAACACAGAAGAGGAATCGATAGCTCTTCCTTGTTACATGAATGATAATGTAATCAACATTATTGTACTGAGAGGCTGAACCTGTTGCGTTAGTCATAGCTGTAGTGCTATATAAATTAAATTGACTTTGTCTTGTACACAGGTTTTCAGGCCTGAGTGTGCACTGTAACACTGGTATATACAGTATGAAAAAATGTCATCCATTCAGGTCCACATGAGTTGTATGTGAATGTGAGATTGTCATTTATTCCCCTCTAGGTGCATAGTGCTGTGGGAACCACAATATCTATCATCTTAGAAGTTGGTAAGCATACTGACATTTGCTAGTTAGTGTAAGCTGATACTAACTAGAATCTCAGTTTTGCTCTGGGTGTGCACACTGGAGAAGTTTCTTTACATGTGAACTCCACACCCAAACAAATAGACATCCAGACTGAGTACTCATTCAGCAGCTCCACCCTAAATTTGGGGCTGCACATTCAAACATGGCATTATGAATGGGCATAATGGGCCTGGGCCCAACCACTTGTAAAGTTGGCCCACCCTAAATGATTGGGAGAAAATATGTCTTCCTTACTAATTCCTATTTGATACTGAAATGAAATTTAACACCTAAAATACAGTTTTCCTTTAAAAAAAAAAAAAAAGAGAGAAGTTCGGTGACAGTTTGATAATAAAGGGCGTCACCCCCTCCAAATATCAAGAGTCTCCCTAATCCAACTTAAACATGCCTACAGTGTGCCTGGCATTCTGTCGGAGCCTGTCCGCACTGATTAAAAATGGGTTCCAGATCATAGTTTTCTATTGAGACAAGCTCATAAACATAGTGTGGTGTGTCATTGTCTCATTAAAAGTTTAAGTAGCAGTCCAATCCACAATCTCTCCACCCTATTAATACAAACTAATAATAATCAGACTCAGAATCCGGTTTATCGCCATGTTTACACTTTATCGCATTTACAGATACAAGGACATGGCATGATGGTTTGGTGTAAAAACATTTATGATAGAGGAATGGCTCTAGATCCAACAAATTCTTAAATTGAATTTAAATGGCATCGATCTCCAGCAAGGTCTTTAAAACTATGTTATGATGATGCAAGAAGGGGAAACAGTTACCTGGGCCCATTCAATATTGGAATTCTAACACCCCCCCATTGCACATTGTGTCAGGTTAACCATTTTAACAACTAATTTATAATAATCAATATAGCAAAGTCTAGAGTGTAGCGACCCACTTGTTAGTTAGCTTCTATAAGGGAAAGCAATTTTATAGGTATTATCCCCAATGATGGGGAGATAGGAGAGTAGCATAAAGTACAAGGGGAAGCAGGGGGTACTGGGACATTTTTACAAAATTTAACAATCCAGTGTTTTTATTTGTTTTTTTTAGATATATGGCTGGATTAGACTTTCAGCCTCATGGAGGCGCTATCGGGTCAATTAAGCTAGAAGATACGTTCCCTTGGTACCATGAAGATCTGCAAATTAAATGTTGTTGCTCCATCAAATAGATATATCAACAAGTTATAGTTAGTACTGTATAATACTGTTAATGATGAAACATCATTCAACAGTCAGAGCTCTTTCAAAGACATACACCTGGTACCAAAGGTAACATCTGAATGCATTTTAACACACACACACACACACACACACACACACACACACACACACACACACACACACACGCACACACAGTCAGTCAGTCACACACACACACACACACTACTAGTACTTTTAACTCCTCGGTTCACACGGATCAACCGTCCCACTCGGTCTATTAGAATAATGACACACAGCGAGCCCACTTCAAATGAGGGGGATGAGGACCACTAACAGTCATAGCAAAGTGGATAACACAAAAGTATGAATTATTACCTGGACAAATATGCATGAGAATGGATGTGAGCCTATTTTGCCAAATGCCAAGAATGTATTCATATTCTGAATATATGATGAGCCAGGTGAGGAATTGGCTAAATTGAGATTACAAAGCTAAGGGCTATTTTAATTTACAGCTGTTTTTCCCCAAAATGGGGATCGACATTCCTGCTGAGTCCTCCTTTGGGGTCCAGAAAGAAGAGCTTAATGTGTGAGTCTGATCTAAGGAAACAGCTCTGACTTCACACTAGTCACTCTGTTTACCAGCACACCTAGATCTGAAGCCTTTCATATAGAAAACCAGATGAAGGCTAAAAATCACTCTGTTTTTTAAAGTACTCTGCTCTAATGTTTAGCCCTGGTGGGGGGTGGTGTTGTGAATGGGGGTTTAAGGCTGGGGTTGTCATTTCATTTACATAAAAACATGGGACCCTTTGGGTAACTTAGCCTTTTCCTGAACATCTTAAAAATCTTCTTAATAGCCTTAAATCTGACCTGCTACTTGAAGCACAAGCTATAAGAAGTTACAGGTTATATAGAAAACATTAACTTGTTCTAATAAGTTCATGACAGGAAAAAAATATTGATCCTAATGTGTTGTCATTGCTAAGGAATATTGCTTGCAGCACAGGAAAAGTATAAACTGGCTTGTCACCATAGCCCAAGTTTCCTTTACATGCAACACAAACACGTAGGCCTAGTCTCAAATGTTCAACAGCTGTTTTATTTTTTACAACGTTGACGAACTTTCCTTTGAACAAAACACACTAAAAGTCCTTCAAATCAAACGTCTTTGGGTTTTTTTTGGTCGTGTTTTGTGTTTATGGTTGTCTCAACGTCATTTTGAAGTTGCCGCTGAGTGCCGAGGGCTGTGATTGGCTGAGAGACGGAGGCTGGGGAAGAAAGGAGCTGCTCTCAGTCAGTAGAGCAGTGCTGCTGGAGAGCTCTCCCGTCGACCGCAGGCTCCAGCGAAAAAAAAAGACGTGACACCTAACGTTTTTATTTTGTAATTTTATTTATTAATTTCTCGCCGCGTCTCCACCTCGTGCAAGATGTAACTTTTGTCGACACCACCTTCAGTATATTCATGTATTTGAAAAGAGCCGGGAGCGAGTGCGAAGAGACGAGAAGCCGAGCTGCTTTGGCGAATGGAACTTATTGTGCATTTGTTTTGACTATGTTATCCCATAATGACTCTGGCTTCGGTCCGTCTCTGTCCGCCGTCGACCCTTGAATTTTTTGGGATTTACATCCGAATAGTTTAAGGGAGACACCGAAGGAGGATTCTGCAAAAGCCAACGAGCATTTCCTTTGCGGAGCCGGGGATTTAAATCGTCATTTGGTTTGTGCTCCGGTAGAGGCGAGAGTCAAAGAAAAGAAATTCATGTGGCCATTCTCTCTATAGCCAAACATTTTTGGGGATTGCATAATGAGCAAGGAAAGACCTAAGAGGAATATCATTCAAAAGAAATACGTAAGTACAAAACGACATATTTGCCTTTTTATTCCCTTTAATGCGACCACTCGATTCAAGTTTGCCTGGCTCGTCTCGATGAAAATGCATAAACTTTCATCACGGACTGTTGTCTGCTTGTCTTAGTATTTGGGTCAAATATCCAGAAAAGGGCAATGCTTCTAAGTTTCCCACATGTTTGAACAATTACATGCATTTCATTTAAAGAGACAGCAATGTTTATTCAGTGTCTGTGTTGTGGCGTTTCTTCGACATCAGACATGTTTTAGGCTATTTGAACATCGGGTGCTTTTGGGGGCTTTTGCCTTTGCTGCACGTATTTGGACTCGTATTGAGGGGGGGGATGCACAGTGTGTTTTGGCAACGCGACAAAAGCCGTAGAATGATTGAAATAAAAGGACTTTTGCAAAGTGTTTTCAGAAAAAGGCTTTTGTTCGCTCCTCATTTCTTCCTATTCAGAGCCGTGAAGACAAGCCTGTCGGCCATGGCTCAGCTATTTCGGCTTCCATTTCGTCCCATGCTGAGCATTTTTATCTCTTGCTTTTTTTTTTTTTTTTTTTTTAAACCAAGCTCTTTTTTTTTTACCTTGTGAATGTTGAGCAATTCTCATGCAGGAGCTTATGTTAATGTCCGGGGGATTTGCTGCTTTTATGTGTGACGGTGATGTTGTCGCTGTAAAAGGCTTCGCAAACCCGACATGTTTCGCGGACTGTTGTGGCTCTTTAATTTTCTCCATAAAGAGTGCAGGGAGAGCAGGAGGAAAAGGGGGTCATGCAATTCAGCATTTTCGCTCATTTCCAAACACTTGAAAACGACGTGAGGACACTCTCGGGCTTGTTGTTAGAGGGGGTTATCTTTGCTATTAGCCCTGTTAAGAAAAACAAGTACACTAGAGGCTCAGTACTTTAGCAGGTCTACGTGTGACCTCTGTGAGGGAGCAGATATTGCTGCAGCCCACTGAGGGATAACTCCATTTTTTGCAATACTAAGGGGGATTAGCTTACAAGCGTCTGGCTCTCGTCCTGGGCTACCGGATTCACATTAAACTGCGCATTAAATGCTCGCTGTGGTCTAGCACAGTGTACCTTCATGAGTCTTTTTTTTAAAACAGGGCTGTGTTCAGTCGCATTGCAGAGGCTCATGTATGAAGCGATACGAAGAAGCAACCATTTTCTTTCTGCAAGTAACACCGGTGAATGTTCAGGGGAAGGGAGACGTGAAAAAAGAAACAGGTTAGCTTAAAGTTAGCTTGCGCTCAACATCTTGGCAGTCCCTCTCTCCTGAACGAAACAAAGACTTTTAATCTTGTGAAGTGTGACTGGCTCAGCATATCACTCCACTAAAGCTACCTGTGTCGGCTTTTTTATGAGGACTAAACATGCTGGCCGGGCTTCTGTGTTGTGGCCTAAAAGTTTGTTGCACTATTTTTTTTCTTCTGTTAATTATCGCCACGCACCCAAATGGACACTTTGTTGCGTTCAATTGCACGACGCATTTCATGTCTGTTAACGCCGTGGGGCTGGAGTCACCGGAGCTAAACGCCCCCTACCACCCCCCCACCCGTCCAAACAACACGTGCAGTGTCTCTAAAAACTGTGTTAACTCCTGCAGACACTTTGCTTACTGAAAGAATCAAAACCAGAACAAACCAACACATGTTTCTGTGATGGGGAGTTGTATTACTTGAGGCCAAACTGAGCAACAGGTTCACAACCCACCGACGAGACCAAACACAAAAAAAGAGTTTGTAAAGCATTCTTGAATGCCATTTGATTCATGGGGTTTCCCCTTTCTTTCTTAAGTAAATAGAATTTTAATAGATATCATGTGTAATTAGTTTAAGCATAGTCACTTCTCTCTAAAGAACTGTATTCACATGACTTTTGCACACAGTGATGGGACAAGCTGAATTCTTAAGAAACGATAGGCCTACATCAAGGAAAATAATTTGTCAGAGCAGTTTTGTGAAGCTTTCTGTGGAGCAGTTGTCTAGAAAAAGAGAAACAAATATTCCATCCCTTACAAATGATGTCATTGTACACCTGTAAACACTTATAGGAAACATATATTTATGTTGCCGGTAAATGTATAGGCTTCAGCTTTCATTTATTGTCAACCTCAGAAATGAGTCACCCCTTTTTTAGAAGAAAGACGCATGTTTAAAATGACCGAATAAGCACATCTTAAAGTAAAGTAAACGCTGCAGCCGCGGCAGTCTCCATTGTCCAGTTAAGTTTTCTTTATTATAAACAGAGCTTGCTCTTGAAAGTAGAAGCAGATTATCACACTCTACTTCATATGTTTGGCAAACTTGCCTTTTAATATTGCACAACAACAAAAAAATGGTCTTTTGATTGTTCAAAATAGTTTGCACATTTCCCACTAAATTGAGGAAACAGGATGTGCCATAGTATTAGTGTCTAACTCAAACACAAGTCCCCACTTCAAATTGAGCCAGAATACAAGGTCAACGATGTCACGGTCTAAAATTGGACAAGCTTTTATTTATTTGGTCTATTCATATCTGACTCTTCATAGGAACTGCAGGGCTGAGGAAATGGTTCGCCTGTGTGCCCGACTGCAGGAAGCATGTTTCTGTGTGTGTGTGTGTGTGTGTATGTATGGGTGCTCATGTGTGTCACATCTGTCATGTGTTTTCGGCAGCTGCAGTTAATAAATAAGTCTGGCCTGGACCAAATAAGGCTAACAAACGTGCATTTCTACAACAACCTGGAGGAGTCCAGATCCCCAAGTCCCCCCTCTGGGCTTTGAGACAGGACTCTTGGCCCCTACTGATCCCCCTCCCCTTCCCCATCTCCTCCCCCCTCCCCCCCTTAATTAGCGTAAGACAATTATACATGCTTGGCTTAACCATTTCCCCTGAAACACGAGTGTGAGTTGTTGCCCCTCCACCCCCGCCTCCTGCACCCAACAAACAGCCACTTACTCCGTTTGGTATTAAAATTCATCAGTCATAAAACGACTGAAAAAGTAGCATGACTCTTTAATGACAGCAAATAAAGCAATTAGCATTTTCTAGTTAAATTGATGGGTTAAATGTGAACTGAAGATAAAAATGAAAGCCAAATTGCCGTGTCAGCTTCCCCCTTAAAGAACGGTTTGTAACAAAGTCGGGTTGAGTGACGCTGCAGGAGCAAGCATCACACTTTCTAATTATTCCCAGGTTTCATGAAAAATCTTTTTGTTTGTTTTGAAATTTGTTGCTCCCCTTTCGAGCCAGCGGGTGGGGTGCTGTGTTAGGACTGAGGTAGCAAGCGCTCATTTGTGGCTGTGTTGTTCTGTCTAACAAAACATGACACACACTGTGTGTGTGTATGTGCATTTGTGAACGAGTGTAAGTGAGAGTAGCAGGAGAGCACGGCAAGAGTGCAGCTCCTTGCAGCCAGGGCCATTTTGTGCAATGTCGGCTCTTCCTGTAGGCCCCAGCTGGAGCAAGGCCTCTGATTCAAAGGTTGTGTGTGTGTGAGTGCGTGTTTGTGTGCACGCATGGTGTGTGTGGGACAAGCACAGCTGCTGCAGGGGCCTTTACAAATGTAAAGAGGCTGTCAGTGTTTGTTTCATCAGGCGCACAACTGATGAGGGCCAAGATGAAAATCCCTTGCACTGAGAGTGTGTGCGCTGAGCGTGCACAAAAAGAGGAAACAAAAATAGAGAGCGGGGGCAGAATGGGGAGTGCAAAGGCACAGACTCTCCCCCTCCTCTCCTCCTTTTTTCTCTCTTTATCTCCCTGTCTTTCTGTCTCTGTCTCGCTCCCTCGTTCTTCGGGGCTGTCCAAATGAAATGTGGGCCTCATGTCGGACCATGAACAGAGGGTCACAGGGTTGTTTTTTCACCGTGCCTGAGCCTCAATGCGCTTCATTTAACCTTATGTTTCAATGCAAATTCTCCTTTCACTAGCCCCCTTTTCCTCACGTGTGCAACATGGCAGGGTTCACTTTGCAACCTCCCCGTCACTATGGCTACCACGGGCAAAACCATAGTGAACAGTGGCAAAAGCAGCGTTTTTACTGCCTGTTTATGTGACCACGTTCGCTATGGTTACGTTCCACGTGGCACCTGACAAGGGCCTTATGGAAAGCACTTTCATCTTTCACCATATGTGTTTGTTCATCTTTTTGTGTCTCAGGTTTGTTACCAGCAGGATGTGGTAAACAACATGCAACTGATGATACTCCTTTTTTTTTAATTTGAAAGCAACACCACTCTGCTTTATTATTATTTTTTTATTCACCAATTTGGAAAACATCAAAGCAGGGTTACTTTGATTATGTTGCCAAACTGTATCAGTGTGGCACAAAAGTAAGTGCCAAGAATATAAAAGTCCTTATGAAGATTTGCCTGCCAGCAGATCGCACACAATGGAAAATAACTGAAGCAAACCAGCAACTTGTGTGTCACAGTTTGCAGACAAAAAGTCGATGACATACTTCACATAACAAAAAAACCTAGAGTAGAATTCCTCTTTGTGTCTTACAGAAAATTAGATGTCCACTTTGCTGAAATTTGTCAGGTAATTGAGCCTTTGCTTCATCTGTGTTGTGTTCAAGCTTCCCGCGCTGCCAGCGGGAGCTTCTCGTCCCTACGGTGTGCTCTGTCCTCTCACAGGGCCTGCCGACTGGACGAGCCCTGCCAGACACATTTCTGGGAGTGAAGTTGGCTCGCCTGCCCTCTTTTTTTAATTCGGCCTTATTTATTTATGTATTTATTAAGTTTGTGCTGAAGTGAGGAGAAGGGAGCCCTTTTTTTCCCCTCCTTTTTTTTTTTTAAACAGTCGTGCTTTTGCCAAAACCGACTTTACTGCATCATTACTGGCGCTGTGTGAGCTGCCCGCTTCAATTTGGAGCGGCGATGGATGTTCAGCAGCCAAATGTATCAGCACTCAGGCTCTTTTCTCCGACATTAATACACCAGTCCCGTCTCCCTGTTTACCCTTTACTGTCTCCTTTTTTCATCTTCTTCTCAGTGTTATGTCACACACA